GGGGGGGGGGGGGGGGCGTGGAAGAAGGGCGTCTTGTCACGAAAAAGTAACCAACAGTTTCCGTGAAGCATAGCGCTGCAATTCCGCACGAATGCAGGTTGCCTAGTGGGCCGCGCTACCATGTGGGATCGGCAAGAAGCAAGACGTGCGAAACAGACAAAAAACATTTCAACCGCCACTGCCTTCTTACTCTCTTGTTACTCGTCTCCCCTCTCACTCTCACAATTTCCTCGTCATCCCCATCCCCGCTGCTGCCGCTGCTGCTGCTGTTGCCACCCCGTCCTCCAGGGGCCGCAGCGGCGGCGGCGGCGGCCCCGGGCGGTGGCACCACCGGCGGCGGCAGCGGCGGCGGCTGCACCATCGGCTGCACCATCGCGCTGCAGAACGCTTCCAGATCGCTCCCCTGACCACCACCGCCATCGCCGGATTTCACACAGGCAGCTGCAGCAGCAGAAGCGGCGGCATCTCTGCCAGCGCCGGGAGGACCACCGGACGACGCCGTCGATGGGTCCATGACGTGAACGGCGAGGGTGAGCAGGTGCAGCCCGCGCAGCAGCAACGTGTCTCGCGAGCGCCCTTGGGTTCATAGCGACAGGGTTAGGGTTATTGGGTTAGGATCGCCCTTGCGAAGAGGAAAAGGAGATAGAGAGAGAGGTTTGGAACCGTGTCGCGGTCGTGTTGCACTTGGGTCGGGAATGAAATGCATGGGAGGAGAGCCGATCAGATCGCCGCGGGCGAGGGAGCAGCAACAAAACATTCCACCCACACCCGCAAGGTGTATGCGTCATTTCAGAAGAGTTTATTTTCTCTACGCACTCCTTTCGGCCTCTATGTCTTCTTCTTCGCGCGCTCTCTCTCTCTCTCTTGATCCTTTCGATGCTGTACAAAAATAACAGGTATACCCGTGGTTCATTCAAGTTTTCTCCGCGCCCCCCCTGGCAAGAGAGTCGGGCGAACAGAAACAGAAACAGTTCTAACACCCAATATGGACGTGCCTTCACCATTGCAACACAAGCCCATACACACACACAGGTGGTGTCGAGTAATCCCGAATCAGAACACTAGGCCCTGCCGTCCATCTCTCGTCGCCCAAGGGAGCCCAGCATGATTCACCCCGCCGTAAGACCGACGCCTTTCATTGTTTAGCCGGATACCGTGGTCGATGCTAACGAAATAAACACGATGCAATTCACACACATGCACAAGACCCTTCGAATAGAAGAAGAATCGTGCCAGCCTCGCTAAAAATGCTGACGTCCATTCATTCGCCAGCGTGTTTATGGCTGTCGACACTTGGTTCAAGAGACACACATGCACACGCCCGCCAGCACACACCTGGGGTTTTTCTCGAACAGTCAAGCAGCACCTGGCCCACCACCCTAAGCATGGTCTCGTCCTTTACCAGGTCCACCCGTAGCTGCTTGAACAGCGGGTGAGCCTGGGTGACAGTTCGCAATCGAGTCGTACAAGTAGGCGATCCAGGTTGACATAAGGGAAGGAGGGAGGTTGGCGCACGGTCAGAAGCGAACGGCCAAATCAATGCACGTAACAGGTCCCAAGAGGCCGCCATTGCCCCCGGAAACGTTCGTTAAACCAGAGCCGTAAGAGCGCACGAGAGGAGTTAAAAGCAGGGCTCGTTAGCGTGCTGCTTCCGGGCGAGGGGACCCGCGCTGTACCGGGACAGTACTTGGTTCCACTGCATTTCACTTCATTTCACTTGGCGAAATGCTGCGGAAGTACTAATCACACCGGTCGGCTAAAATAGACGGGGGTACATCATGCATACCTCGGGAGGGGGCGGGGCCACCGGCGTGGGGCCCTTGATGGCCGGCCGCCGCTCGCTGGCCTGTTGGTGGGCCTGCGGATCAAACGAAAACAACCATAACAGCAGCAGCAGCAGCAACAATAATGACGTAAGAACCACAGCAACAAAAAAACAACAAGAACAAGAACATCAAGGACGACAACAGGCAGGCATCGGCGAACACGTTCTTACGGAGCCACAGCACAACAATGGGAAAGGTCTACAAGCTGCCGCAGAAAGGGCGGGAAAAGACGCAACCAATCGGCGCCCGGTCACCTGGATGGACTGGTGGAAGAAGGTGCTGTCGTACTCCGCCGCGAAGACCTCGGGCTTGAGCACGAACCGGCCGGAATCCAGGGCGTTGGACGGCTCCCTTCTCGTCGCCACGTCCCGGAGGATCGCCTCCATCATCTGGGAGGCGGAGGAGAAAGTTGTTGTGGTTTTTGGTGTCGTGTTGTGGTGGTTGTTGATGTTGTTGTTGTTGCTGTTGTTGCTGTTGTTGTTGATGATATCGCTGTTGTGGTTGGATATTGTTGTTGCAATTGTATCGTTGTTTTCGTCATTGTTGAGATTGTTGAGGTCCGTCTCGTTTGCGGTTGTGACATGTGGTGGTGGTGGTAGTCAGTGGGAATGGAACCGGGAGGGGGGAGGGGGGGGGGTACTCCATCGCTAGCAGAACTTACGGCGCCACATCAAAAATGGCGTCAAAGCAAGCAGGCGCATGCAACACCACAGAGCTACACACACGTGTGGAAATACAAGCCCCAAACAACAGTATGGATCCCACACACGCAACGACGCAAGCAAACGTTGCTGACACACAAGCCAGCTCCAAAACACAAAGCCACGACTGCCGGCACAACAAACACAACAAATCAAAAACCATTTCTACCCCCGCCCCCCCCCCCAAAAAAAAAAAAAAAATCACCTCCGCTTCTAGGGCCTCGTTGTGAGACGAGGCGTAGCACGTGTCCTGCAGCTCGCTGTGGGTGCACGGCGCGGACGCCAGGCGGTGGACGAGCTCCCGCCGCAACTGCCTCGCCATCCTGCCGCCGCCAGCCGTCCCCTTCCTCGCCGCCTCCGGCGAGCCACCACCGCGGCCACCTACTCCGGTGCCGCCGCCGTCGCCGCTGTCGACGCCCGGCTCGGGTGTGAGGGGATCGGGGACCATCGGCATCTCCGTGACGAGAAGGATCAGCAGCATCAGGCACTCCTCGCCCAACGCCAGTTGCTGCATTGATCGTCGTGGCCGTGGTCGTCGTCGTCGTATCAAACGCACGTGGGCATCAAAGTCGGTGCGCCGGGGAGGGGGGGGTGGGACACGGTAAATGCAGGCACGGCACCTCTGTGTGGTTAACGCTGAGGAACGAACGATATCTCACAGACGGGACACATACATATATACACACGACACCAAAATGCAGAGCATGTGGTTCTCCAGAGGGGAGCAAGAGAACCAGTTCGACGCAAACCACAAACGGGAGGAAGGACAGGAAAGAAACGCCACACCACCGCCGAGGGAAAGGCAGAGACAACAGAACCGACAGCATTCCGTGACGTAAAACAAAACGGGCCGCCATCGTCTTTTGATTGTCGCCTCCTCCCTGACCGCCGCCACCGACAAGACCTCCGGGTCAACGACGCTACCGGGCGGCCAGCTCAGGTCTGCCAACGACCGGCGACCCCAAGAAACAACGGAATCCTGGTGTCGTGCTGGAAAGCAGGACGCAAGCCAGCTAGCTTCTCACCGGAATGAAAAATACCAAAAAAACGTAGGTCGTACGGATGCATGTACGAACGAAGCACTACACACAACCAAAACCTAACCCTTACTGTTTCTCCTCGGAGAAAATGGCAACAACTGCGTGTACCTGATCAGGGTCTAACGTTGACCTACGCCGCAGACGTCGCGCGCGCCGCTGCCGCTCCTTGTCCGGCCCCGCGAACCCGCCGCCCCCGCCGCCGCCGCCGTGGGAGGCCGAAGAGTCGGAAAAAATATGCGTCGGCGGGACCGGGGCACTACTAGTCCCCGTCTTCCTCGCCGCTCCTGCGCCTCCTCCTCGCCCCCCTAAGCGTTCTAGTGCCGATGTCGCGGCTGCGGCCGCCGCCGCAGCTCGCCCTTTGGCAGACTCCCCCGCCGCAGAAGCCCGGGTGGTCGTGGTCGCGTCGCACTCGTCCAAGATCCAAAAGAAAAAGCATTGGAACCTTAGAGGTTGTGGCGGTTTTCGTCAATACGGGGGAAAGAGGGGGGGGCGCGTGTGGGCATGAGAAAAGGACGGACGGGGAAGTTCGCGAGCTCAAAAAAAAACGAAACAAGACACTCTAATGCTGTTGTTGTTGTTGTTGTTGTTGTCGTCGTCGTCGTCGTTGCTTTGTTCGCCCTAAATTATCGTTCTAATCTATGCTCAGTACAACACAATATCCGTACCGGTCCAACTCATGGGAAGTCGCCATTAGGCACTAGCTATCTGTGAGAAAACGCCGACTACTCGCCGAAACGCGAACCCCGTATCGCAGATCGCAAGGAGTCGAGTACTGTACCATGTTCACCTGTGGAGAACGTGGTTAACCAGCTGCGAAGCGCCGCCGGAGAGTGCGGCGAACTGCACCGTCATCAGGTCCAGGTCGCGGAAAATCTTGCAGAAGCTCGGCTCCGCGTAGTTGAGCACCTGCACCCGCAACAAAAAAAAAAAAACGCAAAAGAACGAAAGGCAAACAGGAAAAAACGGCAGCAACAACAACAGTGAATATTAACCTCTGTCCAAGGTTGTGGGCATATCGAAATATGCCTCCCCCCCCTGGTTCTTTGTCTCCCTCTCTCCCCCCCCCTACTCTTTCCTTGTCCCGAGACAGCAGTATTTTCGATGGCATGCATGAGAGTGGTTAGAGCGCGGTCGATGCTCGACCACACGGCGCACACACGCAATCTGCATACATACCCCCGTGTGCCGGGGGAGTCCGCCCTACCAGAAAAAAACGGATTCGTGTGAATGGTCCCGCGACGAGCCCGGCGTCTCTTCTCTTCGTTGGACGGCCGGTTCGTGCGCTCGATGCTACACCAAAAGGAACACACAAAGACAAAACACACAGAAGCATGTTCGCCTCGGCTCCAAACCCTGTCGTGGGGGGGGGGGGGCGCTGACAGGGAAGATGTTTCCGCCTCTACCCTGTCCCGCTCAAAAGACCAACCAACGCCTCTTTCACTTGGCCAGCCGGTTAACGCGGTCGCTGCTTGTACCTAAACGCAACGAATCCAAAAATGTTACTCCTATATGCTCTCGCCGCCGTTTCTCACCTGGTCATTCATGCACTGGCCGTTCTTCCTCCACAGCCCGGCCCTCACCTCCGCCGCAAAGGACAGCACGTTGAGCGCTGTGTCGGCCACGTCCGTCACCACCTTCGCACCGGCACAACCAGCACAACGACGGTTCGTCCAATCCAAGAGCAATAACAAAAAGACAACAACAAAAAAATGAAGAATAATAATCCAGACATGCGTCGAGTGCTTTGCTAACCGAGAACAACAGCAAGCACTACACAAGAAAAAAATCTACTGGCAGCTATTTAGAGAAACCATTCAATTGCTTTGCTAATCGATCAACCCAGGTTTTCGAAAATCGATTGCGTGTTTGTCGATCCGTCTAAATGTAGCATGCCGAAATTGCGACAATGAGGTGGTCTCTCCGTGCTGTGCTGCAGTGTCGCAGCGAGAACGCACGAAGAAGGTAAAACTAGACGGCGAGAGTCCACCAGCCTGTTGGCAGCCCATCACCCGGCTGGCTTGTTTCACTTCAAAAGACACACAAGGCCCCGCAATAGTGCCATCTGTGGTGCTACAAGCGCTCTGAACGAACTCGGTTTTACCTCGGGATAGCGGCCGACGAAGCCGCAGAGCTGGCGCAGGTCACTGCCTCGTTCCTCGCAGTTGCACGCCTCCCTCACCTACCAAACAGACAGACAGACAGACAGACAGACAGACAGACAGACAGATACAGGATGAGACATGAACTAACGGGTAACGGCACGAAGGCTTACAAAAAATAACTATCCTTGTCACGATGAACTCGAGGAACACTTGACGAGATTCATCGGGCTTGGTCCGTCCGCCAAACCGGATGTTGAGGCCGGGCGCGCCCATCGGCCTCTACGGTATCACTACGCTAGGAACGACCAACCCCTCGGTCAAAGCAGCGGCGAGTATCATCCACCTTCTATCCCCATCCGCTTGGTGATGTGAGAGCCTGGTCCGGTCAGAACCCGGCGTGCTCCGTACCGACTTTTGTAGGGGGATGCGTTGGTAATGGTCTAACGACTACGGCATGCACGGCTATGAGTACCCTCGCCACCCCCCGCTCACCATGGCGGCGAAGAAACGATGCAGGATGATGTGAAAAGACCTTCCGGCCGCCGGCGGCCGTACCCGCAGGACACCCCCCGGGAACGTGGGCAGCTCCTCGTGCTCCCACGCCGCCCTCGTGCCGTCAACAGTAGCAGTGGCCAACGCCGACCACAGGGAAGCGGCGCCGCGGTGGCTGTTACCACTCGCCCCTCCGGGCGGTGGTGGCGTCCCTCCCGTCGCCGCCGCCGCCGCCGCCGCCGGCACGGCGTTGTTCGCCTCGTTGAGAAACTCCCACATAGTAGCATTCGCCCCTGATCCCGCCCAGGGCTGCCATGGCTCTCCCTCCGCTCCGTCTTTCTCTTCGCCTTCGGAGGCGGAGGCGGAGGCGGCGGCGGAGGCGGCGGCGGCGAATACGTGCTCCTCCTCCAAAATGTCGGCCCACCACGACACAACCTCTCCGCCCGCCCCGGCCGGCGGGGGCGTTGGCGATGCAAGCTGAGCT